GCTCAAGTGATTCTCCAGTCTCAGCCTCCCAAGTGGCTGGGAATATAGGCGAGTGCCACCAAGCCCAGCTAATTTTTTGATTTTTAGTAGAGACGAGATCTCACTATGTTGCCCAGGCTGGTCCTGAACCCATGGGCTCAGGCAATCCTCTCACCTTGGTCTCCCAAAGTGCTGGGATTATAGGCGTAACCCACCGCAGCCAGCCTGAAAACAATATCTTGATTATAATAATTTAATAGAATAGTCACTATGGACCAAGCACGGTAGCTCATACCTGTAATCCCAGCACTAGGCAAAGGCGGGAGGACTGCTTGAGCCCAGGAGTTCAAGACTAGCCTGGGCAACATAGTGAGATCCTGTCTCTACTAAAAATCAAAAAATTAGCTGGGCTTGGTGGCACTCGCCTATATTCCCAGCCACTTGGGAGGCTGAGACTGGAGAATCACTTGAGCCCAGAAGTTTGAGGCTGCAGTGAGCCGTTATCATGCCACTGCAACAAAATGAGACCCTGACTAAAAAAAAAAAAAGAAGATATTATGAATTTTAAAAAATAAATAAGTAAATAACCTGGGTTCTGCCACTAACTAGGCTATATTAACTCTGGTTAAATTACTTAACTTCCATGAGTCTCAGTTTCCTTAACCTATAAAAAATAGACATTTGTAAAGTGGTGAGGATTAAATGAAAAAGAAGTGTTTAATAATGTCTAGTAACAAATTAAGTGCTCAATAAAGAATAGCTATTATTCTATTTTTTAAGAGTCACCTTTTCTTATCTTTCCAAGAACCATTAAATTATAACCCTCACCAACCCTTGTATTCATAAACTATGTTGGGGGCAAGGGTCCTTCTCTTCAGTCATTTCAATAAATTATCAAGCACCTGCTGGACTATAGGCACTATACTAGGTGTTGAGGCAACAGTTAGTACTCAACTCCTTACCAATTAATTCTTTGTTACGAGCATCCACCGCAAGATTTCTCAGCGCTCCAGATGCAGCTTTCACTACCCGCTCGTGCTCATTGGTCAGGAGGTCAGCTATGGCAGAAAGAGCCTTCTCTTGACGCAGAGCAGAGCGGATGTACCGACCGTACTAGAAGTAGCATATGGGAAAGGTGGGACAGATTAAAAATGGCAGTAAGCTAGTTATCTAAGTCCCCCCATCTCCAAATTCATTTTCTAAAAGGTACTTACTGTCCAGCGCCCAGCACATAAGTTCTGGATAGCCCCAGCTGAGGCTTCTAGGATGGCAGGAGTTTTGCTCTCCTTGAGGAGTGAGATGTATATCCGCACCACCTCTGGCTGAAATAAGAGCTCATAGCCTGCAGGAGAGAGGACAGGAAGGCAGAGGGTGCTAATTAATACCTACAAGACAGGCTCTAGCTGGCTAGAGTCCAGCCTTAGTACTCTGGATTGGTAGATTTATGATCCTATACCATTAGGTTCCCTAAACTCTCACGCCTACTGAACAGCAAATCTGAGGCCTGATTCCATGCCTTCAGAATAATGAATCCATGGCAAGAGCAGAATAAATAACAATTCATCATATTCAACTCTTCTCTCCTTCCTCCTTGCCTCCCCTCTCCCCAGTTTTGGCCTTTGTTCTACCATGAGTACTAAAGGGAGCACTTGAAGTGCTCAAGGTTAAAGACTCCTCATCTCGAATCAAATATTTCTCACTTAACTCAGTTATTCTTCCCATCTTTGCAATGTCTAAGTAAAAGGGCCCACCATGTATATAACAACATTAACAATTTTTATTTAGTGGGTGTGGTAGCACGCGCCTGTAGTTCCAGTTACTTGGAAGGCTGAGGCGGAAGGATCGCCTGAGTCCAGCAGGTGGAGGCTACGGTTGCCAGGAGCAGCATGCCACTGCACTCCAGCCCAGGTGACAAAGTGAGACTTCAACTCAAAAAAAAGAAAATTTATATTCATGGAGGGCTGTGAACTTTGGACTCACTATGCTGATGAATATAAAGATCCAAAATGGGATAAAGAAGCTACTTATAACAGTAAGGCTTAAGTCTCAGGAACTGGAGCGGCCATTCAGGTTCCCAGGTTTCTGCTCTCTGCTACCATCAGGACCTTATCCTATCCTCCAGTAACCCGAATAAATGCTTTAACAAGCAGTCTTTTATAAGTTACTGCTATAATGCTCTATGGTTTCCCAATACTTTCACTATCACTCCAAATCCGTAAGTTGGAGAAGAGAGAACAGTAAACACATTTCATTAAGTTGGCTGTCAGGGTACCAAACACAGTATCTGTGAACTATGTTTACAAGACCTTTGGAGACTAAGAAGGAGAAAAAAAATTACCTCGAGCAGGACTTGTTCTTTTAGGGAAATCCACTGTGTCATTTGCTGAATCCTCTATGGGTTTTTTCCCTGTAGAAATGAAAAAAGTAGGGGGAGAGGGTAAAATGTTTGAGAAAGCAAAAATTTTAACTAGCACATTTTTCATTCTTCAGTCAGAATCTTTTGATCAGAGATGCATCAAGAGGGGCAAAAAAAAAAGAAGGGGGACCCCAACATGTCCTAGCAGGGAGCTGTGCAGAAACAAGGACAGAAAACAGCAAAAGGCAAGACAAGGATAATCACTGTTGTTGCTATTGTCCTGAGTTCTGATAACAGGGATGCTGCCCAGAAATAGCATGCCATGAGCCATTAGCTCAAGAGAGCTACACTTGTTTCAGTGTCTTTCTCAACTGAATTTTCCTACATGCATAGACAGGGAAGGGTTAGGCAAGGAAGGACTAGGGAAGCTAAAACATGCAAATTAGGAGTAGATGAGCACCTTAAAAGACTCCACTCACCTCTGGAGAACCACTCATCTTCCAGTGCATCACCCAAGGTGGAAAGCAGAGGAGAGAAATGAAAGAAGAAAAATGCAGGAGAAAGATGTCAACAGGATCATGGGCAAATAAGCAGGATAGCACAGAAAAGAAAAACACAGGAAACACAAAGGGCATATGGGAGAGAAGGCCCCAAATTAGTTGACTTCTTATCCTTCACTGCCCTAGTCATTGATACTGATCCTCCTCCACCACCACCACCACCACCACCACCACCACCACCACCACCACCACCACCACCACCACCTTGAATGAAGTACACAACACAGGAGAAATGGCAGAGCAAAAATACATCCTTAACTAGGCAGACTCCCCATACTGCTTGGCAAGTATTTGTGCCTAAAGCTAAAGTATTCTTGCCTTTCCTTGTCCCACATTAAGGAACAGGAACCAAAACTCACCTTTGCCCTTCTTGGCCCCAAAGCAACTGGCAGCATGTGGCCCAGTATTGTTAACAACATTGGGAGGTGCTTCTTGGTAACGCTCTGCCTGTGGGATCTCCCGGTGAACTTGATATGATAAGTTTCGAAGAAGGCAGACACAGTTCTCCACAAGCTTAGGGACACAAGAGAAAAGGCTCATTGAGAGAAAAAAATGCCAGTAGTGATTTTCCAGCAAGTATAGGTTCCCATGATTCAGGTATTAAAATGCTGACCTTCAAATGCATAGCCCAATCCACAATCTCCAAGATGCCTCTTAAGTGCTCTGATTTCCCAAAATCCCTGTAGCCTCAGGCTAATGGAAGGTTCAACTAAGGACGTATTGGCTTCTGCTACTATTTGGTATGTTACCCAAAAACCTGGGTCACCATTCTTACAACTTAGACAACGTAAAATCGTGGAAGACAGGTAAGCAGCTTTAAAATACATAGGTGAAGGAAAATGGAAACTTTTAAGTTGAACACCCCACTTTAAGTAGTTAGGACTATAATAGGTATTTAATATTACTGGAAAGCCTGAGATGACAGGTCTGCACTACATTTCATGGCTGAAGTAACTGGAATTCACTGGGCCGTTAACTTACCTTGCTGTCTGAATCCTTCTGCCCAATCTCAGCCTGAACAATGAAAATGAGGGCATCAACTAAACCATCACATTCCCGAAGTTTCCGACGAGCTTCACTCCTCTCCGAACTTACATTCCTGAAGAAAACCAGGAGAAACTTCAAGATGACTCAAATTCAAAAATTCTCCCTTAAATATCCCTTAACACCTGCAAGCGTCCTCAATACCTTTCTATTCACTATAACAAATAGTGAAGCCAAGCACGGTGGCTCACATCTGTAATCTCAGCATTTTGGGAGGTGAGGCAAGAGGATTGCCTGAGTCCACAGGCTCGAGACCAGCCTGGGCAATATGGTGAGACCTGGCCTCTACAATAAATTTTTTAAAAAAACAGTAGGGCATGATGGCACATGCCTGTAGTTCCAGCTACTTGGAAGGCTGAGGCGGAAGGACTGCCCGAGCCCAGCAGGTTGAGGCTGTGGTGGCCATGAACGTGCCACTGCACTCCAGCCTGGGCGACAGAGTAAGATTCCAACTCAAAAAAAACAAAATAGTGAATACCTGTCACTAACAAGGTACTGCAGTTGAGAGAAAGTTGACTAGCAGTCCCTGCCTTCTGAACTTTTATAACCCATAGAGTGGATGATTAATAATATATACCAAAAACAGTAATTCAAGATTGAATAGAGCTGGGCATGGTGGCTCACGCCTTTAACCCCAGCACTTTGGGAGCCTCAGGCAGGAGGATCACTTGAAGCCAGGAGTTCAAAACCAGCCTGGGTAACATAGCAAGATCTCATCTCTACAAAAAAATAAAATAAAATAAAATAAATAGCCAGGTGTGTTTGGTACACACTTGTAATCCCAGCTACTCTGGAGGCTGAGACAGAAGGACCACTTGAACCCAGGAGTTTGAGGCTAGGTGACAGAGTGAGACCCTGTCTCAAAAAAGTAAAATAAAAAAAAGAACAGATTTCTCGTATGTAAGTACAAATGTAGAATGGGACAGAGCACACAGGGGTATATTCTAAAGAGGGAAAGATTATATTGCAGTATTTACGGGATATAAGAAGAAAGCAGGAAAGCTCTCATGAAATAAAAGTCCTCGAGTTTAGCCTCAAAAAGATAAATAAGGAGAGAAAGACACTGGCAGACAGAAAGAACAGATCTTCCTTGCCCACACTCTACCCTCCTAGCTCTCTGAACCCCTTCTACTGTATTCACTGCAGCCTGACTTGAAATTCAGATAACCGAGGACAGGGACAGACACCAGCCCAGGGCTAGACAACCTCACTGAACAAAAGCTTACCAAAGCAGACGAACAAAGTCCAAGAGGCATAAGAGTGAGGAGGTTGTATGGGAAACAGCAAGCAAACCAACAGGTGTATGGGGTATACACGAGAGAACCACAAAGGTAGAAGACAGGTTGGTGTTACAGTAGGCAATATTGTTAGGAGTAGAGACTGAATAACATGCTAAAGAATCTTAACTTTTTTTCAAAAAGAAATTTAAGTCAACCCTCAAAAAACCATTTTCATATTCTCCAAGCCCCGACTTTTACCTAAGGCAGCCAGCTGTGTTGGTGAGCACTGACTCCCACTCAATATGGCGTGGCTTACAATCTTCATTAGGCTCCCGCTCCCAACCAGAATGGGGGATGATCACTTCATCTGTCAAGGCGTGCAGGGCATGGTCCACAATCTCCATCTTGATTGAGTCGTGGGAAGAGAGATTCCATAGGGTTCCTGGCAGAGACAGCTTATCAGACGACTCTTGAGCACTCAAGACAGCATGTTTGAAGAATGCCAGAGAATGCCCTATTGCATCATTTCTCAGTCTTCCCCAATGACCAAATACATTGTAGTGATATTCAAGTTTTTGTTTGAGACCCACAGTAAGGAAGACATTTTACATTACAGATCAATACAAACATACAGATCATGAAATAAAGCTTTGTACAACAATAGTTACTGTACACAATGGTCTATCTATAGCAGAGTTTCTCAACCTCAGCACCACTTTTGGGGTCAGATAATTATCTGTTGTGGGAAGCTGTCCTGTCCACTGCTGAATGTTCACCAGTATTCCTAGCCTTCACTCATTAGATGCCAGTAGCACTCCATCCCCCACTTCAAGTTATGACAATCAAAAATATCTCCACTGTTGCAAATGTCCTCTGGAGAGCAAAATCACCCCCAATCGAGAAGCAATGGTTCATACTATTTCTTTTTGTTTCTTTCTTTCCCTTGGAATGCTAATACGATCCACAAAATTGTGTTTTTTTCACACTAATGGATCACAACCTACAATCTGAAAAACCACTGTTCTAAATAAAGCACAAGGACCACAAGCTCAAATGTCTATATGGGCCAAGTAGATGAGTCAAGACAGGCAGACATTTAAAAGAAGTGACAAGAATGTGGAAAAATGGCAATTGACACTCAGCTTCCATATTTAAGAGACAACTCCTATATGGCAGTAGTGGGTCAGAGATAACAGAATATGTTGGAGGTTATTGCAAATTAGAGAGCACATGCTCCAGTCAACTCAGACCAAATATTGCCAGCAAAGAAAAGAGACACATTGTTACCAGCTCTTCTATAGTTTTTGTTTTTGATTTTTTTTTTTTGTAGAGACAAGAAAGATTTCTTTGTTGGCTCAGCTGGACTCCTGGGCTCAAGCAATCCTCCCACCTCAGCCTCCCAAAGTACTGAGATTACAGGCATGAGCCACTGCTTCTGGCCCCATGTTTTTAATAGAAGCCAAGAAACTAAAGTTTTAAGTAAAATCTTCTGAATTTTAAACAGCAGCAACCATTTCTGGAAAATTTTCAAAATCCTGTGTGATCCAAACAAACCTGGGAAAGGAGTTTGACCCAGAGGCCACGAGTTCACAATCTTCAATCAAAAGTAAAAGGACTGAAAACCTCTCTAGTTCTCAATATCTCCAGGAAGTAACAGTGAACTGACCCAGCAATTTTCCTTAGGCTGAGAACTCACCAGTAATGACTTCAGTGAGGTCCATATCACGAGCTTTTCGCAGCAATCGCACAAGAGCAGGCACACCATCACAGTTTTTTATGGCAATCTTGTTATCCTGGTCACGCCCAAAGGAGATATTCTTCAGAGCTCCACAGGCTCCAAGGTGCACTTCCTTTTTGGGGTGGTCTAACAATCCCACCAGTACTGGGATGCCCTTGAGCTTCCGCACGTCAGTCTTCACCTTGTCATTGCGGTAGCATAAGTGTTGCAGGTATGCAGCTGCATTGGACTTAACAGCATCCAAACGGAAACCTAGCATGGCAATCACCTCTGGCAGCTCTGGCTGTCTCCAATTAGGAGGTGGGGGCCCTCCCTTGCGCAGGCTATCCAAGCTTGCTAAACTTCCTCGCTCGTGCTGGGCCAAAGGAGCCCAATAGTACTGATCTGATGGTACCTCCTCACCAATCATGTCTTCATAACTCCTGCGAAGTTTTGAAAGAATCAAGAGAAAAAACACATACATCAAGCCATTAAGTCTCACTTCCTGGGTGCTCCCTGAAAGGCAGAATTAACCCCAGCTCTAGTACACTGATCTTCTCTCTCCTTGGCATAAATGATATACTGATCAATTTTCCTTAATCAGACAGGAAAAACAGAAGCAATAATTTTTAAAGGCATCTGCAATTAGGTTAAAACTACCCTTTTTTCTGTGAAGTGTGTAGGCTTAGAAAGTAATAAGCATTCAGGGGAGGGGGAGGGGCGGTCAATTACAAAGAAAGAACCAAATCCTGATTCCTTTCCATTTATTTGACAGCTATTAACTTTTCTAGGTAGAGATTAAAATAAACCTTCACACAGCAAAGTTAACAAAGCAACTGACTCAATGCCATAGAAGTCAGGAAAAAAAGCCTGAGAACTGAGAACAGTTCTTACCAACCCTTAACCAAACAGGAAATGAGGATTTACACACAGGAAACAGCTGGTAGGATAAGACGCTTAAACACATCTTCATATTTAAGAATCTCCTTACCCTGTTTTAGAAATCATAAAAGATGGGTTGACAGAGAGATAATAAAGGACTTCTTGCTACATCATAGGAGAACCTGGCTTTGGTACTGACAAGGTGTAAGCTTGAACATTAATTTCTAACAGTTCATTTCAAGGTCATATCTGCTACTCAACAAACATGTTAAAGATTTCTATCCTCCAATTTCTAGTGACAATACCTCCAAATTCTGATGAAATGGAGTCTACTGACCAACATCACATTTGGGATGCCCAGACACTAGAACAGACAAAGCAACTGAAGGTAAGAAAAAAATCAAACCAGGAGAGAATTCTTCCTGTTTCAGTACTACCAACAACCACTAGAGGGTGAGTCTGTCACACTATTATTTATTCATAACCACCAGGAAGGAAGAGACCCATTATCTGAGAGCTCATCTCATGCTGGCTCCCACTGGAGAGAGGAGACTCTATTGTGTGGAACTCTCCAAATAAGCTGCTGTTTGTTCTACAAAACCACTCCCACTGTCACCAAATATTCAAGGTTGGCCTGAGCAGAAGGTGTGCCTCACAGGTATCAACCACCCAGTAATGATTCATACAGACAAAGCATTTAGTAAAAAATCAACAAGAGGATCTTAAAATTATCACCAAAACAAAATTAATAGGTTATATAGCTGTTTTAAAAGTAGGTTATTAAACAGAATGTTTAGTAACATTTTATTTTAGCAGGGGGAAAATAGGGTATGTTTACGTGTATAAGAAAAAGAACTCAAAGGATATGCACCAAAATGCTAACAATGGTTCATTAATCACGAATGGTGTTGCTTTTCTGGGTTTTTCAAGTTCTATTTGAACACTTTTTATTTATATACATATATATATATATATATATTTTTTTTTTTTTAAGTAGAGATGGGTCTATGTTGCTCAGGCTGGTCTTGAACTCCTGACCTCAAGCACTCCTCCCATCTCAGTTTTTCAAAGTGCTGGGATTACAGGCATGAGTCACCATCCTGGCCACCTTTATTATTTTAACATAAATAATTACAAAAACAATTACCATGACCAAATTTCAGTCACTCAGAGAAATCTATCTTATATCCTCTTCTATAGGCAATGATTCAGGACACTTTTTCCTTTGTTTTCCAAATAACAAAGCTGTGACCAGAAAGATCAAATGACTTGCTTTGGGTTACACAGCTAGTGGCAGAGGCATAACTAGAACCAAGGTCTCTGGGTTCAGTGCTTTTTCCACTGATCACTGCCTGTTTAAGTTTGACCTAGACCCGGAACAGGAAGCAGCAAATGTTCTTGCTAGTCAAGCAGGTTTCCAAGTCCAGTGCTATCCTGGAACAAACCCAAGAACCAGGCCCCAAACCCTCTTTCTTTATGCAGACTACCACAACTAGGGACAGCAGAGAATGACCTGGCTACCCACACCCATTTGGGTCCAATCACTCTTTACTAATGAGGAAGTTCAACAGCAGACTTGCAGTGGAGCCAACACCCTGGGCAGACTGCTTCAGTGATAGCTGTTATCTAACACTGCTCTAGGTTATACCAGCTGAGGGCTGGTGCCCCTATAGGAATAAAAATGAGTCACATGGGAGTTGGATTAGCCATCCAAGACACCTGAAAGGTAAGCGGCTCAGGGTCAGATAATGGAGCCTCTACCCCTGGGCCCAGCCCAGTTCACTATTAACCAAAGCTGTCTAAAATATGAAGAAAATGAGCACCAAGGCATTCGCCTCAGAAGGTCATGACTCCATGCAGAGAAATTCAGCTGCTAGGGTACCCGTATCATCAAGACAGCCATAAATCTTCCCCTTGTTTCTTATTATTTCTCTTTGCCTGGAAAACACTGCATCTAATTTATTCTAAAGCAGGGTTGGCAGCCCATGGGCCAAACCTGTTTTTTGCACACCCCCAGAACTAAGAATGGTTTCTGTATTTTTAAAAGGTTGTTTCAAAAGAAAAGAACAACATATGACAAGGATGATATGTGGCCCACAAGGCCTTAAAATAGTTTTATCGGGTCCTTTACAGAAAAGGTCTGCCAACTCCATTCTAAAGCATTCTCTCAAGGCAACAGGCAAACTGTCTACCAGTCTAAACATCAATCACTCCCTTTTTCATATCACCAAAGAATCCCCAGGGACAAGGAATAAAGTCAGAGTAGGCAGCTGTTTAGTGAGCTTTCAGTGTTGCTAATATACCCTTCCAAAAGATGCCACCCTCATTTTGCTTTAGAATCAAATATAAGACCCTAAGCACATCAGAGCCTTCGTGAGGTCAAGGTTTATTTTTAACTTTGGGATTAAAACCACCAAAGGAAGGTTCTCATATATGACTTAACTGTCTCTTTTGGCCCTGAAGCCTAAACCCTCAGTTGTTCTTAATACCAAACCAGAAGCCCAAGAAATTTCCAGGAACAAGTGAGTATTCCATGGCCCTGGGGATCAGGCTCCTTTGAGGTGTTCCCTATCACTGAAAGGGGGTTAGATCATAGCCAGAAACAGCAGAAACACTGGCAAAGAAGCGAAGTTCATTCTTCAGGACATAGACCAACAACCATCAGAACTCATTTTCTATAATTAGAATATATACCTTTCATAATGAAAAAGTGACGATATAGCAAAGTTAGAAAAGGGAAAGACAGGGTGAACTTCCACCAGAAAAAAAAAGGCAGAGAATAGGAGGCCATAATTATCTCTGATCCCAAAAAGCTCTTAGAAGCAAAAGGAAAAACCACCCCTTGTCCCTGTCTTGAGAAGATCCTTTTCTTCCCGTTCTTGCCTACCTGAGGCGTCGGCGAGGGTCAGAGGGTGTCCCAGTCCGGCGGGCAGTGCCATAATCAGACACCATACCATAATCCAGGTCATCATAGCCCATGCTACGCTGGTCATCCTCTAACCCATAAGGCTCTGGATGAAAGCGATGCAGATCCACGCTGCTCCCACCTACCCGAACTTGGGGCTGGGGCCCATACACATCCTGTCTACTAGGTGCCCGATAGCCTTCCATGCTGGGCCTATACCGCTCCTCAATGCGGGTCACCCGGGACAGACTGCCATAGTTATCACTGCCACCTGGATAACCATCTTCATAGTGGCGGCTATATCCATCAGGAGGGTAGTGGAAGTTCCTGGGGAGGGTAGCAGTGCCTGCCTGCCCCCCATAGGGACCAGGTCCCCCATTGCCATTCTTGCGGAAGTCACGACCCAAAGTCTGGATATAGTTGTTGGAAACTGATGAGGCATCCACAGGCAGCCCATCTGGTCCCATAGGGACTGGTTGTACCGTCCGTGTTGTCACAGTCTTCACTACTTTCTTGACCTTCAAGTAAAAAACAAGAAAAAGAAAATAAACTAATTAAGGAGGTGAGCAATTCAATTCTAGACTGCCCCAAAAGAAACAAACACCTATACCTCTAGGTCATTTTAACTAGAAATGCCTTACAGTATAACAGCTATCTTTCTTTCCATCCTATAGGAAGTCCCCATATGAGAAAACTGCCCTGGCAGTAATTATGCCTATAAGGGAAGTTGCTATAGACCCTGGTATACCTTCTCTCTTCCCCGTTCCTTTAGATACTCCATATTTCTTTTTTTAACTTTTCTGTCTGGTCAGAGATCACTTTCTTTATGCCATCACATTACAAAACAATGGCCCATCATCCATCTTAACTAAGCACTTGAGCCTCTCCCCAAGAAAGACCCCAAGAAGACCTCTTCTATCCCTCCCTGACCTTATACAAGTCTTGGCTTACTGTGGTCTCTGTGCGCCGAGTGGTCCCATCATCTGAGGTCTCCACAGAGACTACAGACATGGCTCCTTCAGGGTCCTCTTCTGTGTAGGTCTCCACAATCTGCCCCGGTTCCTGCATCCTGGGGATGGTGCTATACAGAAGGTGACTGTGATCCTATATAGAAAGAGGAAAAGGAAGAAGCTACTATTACTAAGCCATATGTATTAACAATCCATTCTAATAAGAAGCATGAGTGGTGCCCCTGGAAACAGAGACACCTCAATGCATCTTCTATAAGCCTCAGGATCTTAGAGGGGTGGTTGCCATCTTTTGAACTTGTACAAAAGGAGAACAGACATAATTTCCCAGTTCTAGTCATTTAACAAACATGAACTGAGCTAACTATAGCCACAGTGACATCCAAGTGACAGAGACAGCAGATTTAACTTCCCAGTTCTGGTCATCCAAGTGAATATGAACTGTGTGAACTGCAGTTTCATTTACATCTGAGTGACCCTTCAAAAAAGTAGCTCACCCAATAAAGACCTTTCAAGATAAACCAGAAAATCCCAATAAGAGCTCCAGATACTAGCCAGATTTTAGGTAGGGTTTTTGGCAAAGTAGACAGCTATCCTCTCTAGGAAAAAAAAATGCAATACCTGGGAATCAAACGGGAGGAAGAAGGAATGGGGGAGTATTTATAAAGATCAATGGTCATTAAAATTCATTACAAAACAAAACTACATATATACTTTGGCGCTCCACTTTTTTGTTTTTCTAAATGAAAGAAACTAATTAATGGGTGTTTTACAATGTGCCAGGCACTTGACAAGACACTAATATGCTCTCAGAGGCTAGCAAAGTAAAATATGAATGAAGCAACCCAGGTCTTGAGCCAAAAGAATTACCTGGGGTCCGTTGAGTTTCAAATCTGAAAATTTCTGTCTTTCAAGGTCAGCATCGCCCACAAACCGGCCGTTCTGAAACATAGCCCACAAGAAAGACAATTCATTTTGTGGCCTTCTTTTGCTCTATCAAACATAAATGATCTTTTTTCCAAACAGGAAAAGGGCTTTCAAGAAGATATTTGTGGCCTGGAATCTTTGTGTCAGTACTCATAAAAGAACCACATCACTCTTAGCACTTTCCTCAAAATTGAAATCAAACCTGGAACTCTGGCAGACTGGGTCTCTGGAACATAAGAATGTAAGCTCCATGAGGGCAGAGTGGCTTTTTGGGTGGTCAATTTTGGTTTTCTTTTGGTTTTTTTTTTTAGTTGGAGTCTCACTCTGTCACCCAGGCTGAAGGGCAGTGGCATGCTCATGGCCACCACAGTACAGTCTCAACCTGCTGGGCTCAGGCGATCCTTCCACCTCAGACTTCCAAGTAGCTGGAACTACAGGCACGCACCATCACGCCCACATAATTTTTTTATTTATTGTAGAGATGAGGCCTCGCCAAACTGCCCAGGCTGGTCTCAAACCAGAGGGCTCAGGCAGTCTTCTCATCTCAAATTTTGTTTAATGATATATCCCTAGTGCCTTGAGCAGTGCCTGGCACATAATAGGCACTCAAAAACTACTTGCTAAATCAATAGCATAGACTCAGATAAGTTCCCCTACAAGCAACCTTTTTGGAAAGCCTTAAGAATATAAGGAAAGTTGGAAAGGCTAAGTCGGGGATTTTCTGAAAGTCTCTTTTATTGCTCCATGAATCTTCATGCTCTACTACCACTGGAAACTCCCATTCCAGGCTGCTTTTTAAAGAAGCAAGATATGTGAGCCTTCCTTTCCAAATACAAAGAACATAAGTACCCCAGAACTCCCCTTAAGAAAACAGAAGTCTCAGCACATCAATTATTAGAGCCACAGAATATATTCCAAAATGGCATCCTTAAGTAGTTCTGTCTTAAACAGCAGGAAGTTATCTAATGATATTATACCACAAAAAAATACATTTGCCTGCTCCTCTTCCAATAAAATGCAGTAAGCTCCAACCACCTTGAAAAAGTCTTCCCCCACCCCACTCCCATTACATTGAGAGTATAATGCTGTAGGAAGAGGAAGTTAAACATTACTTTCAGGAAGAAGGAAGGGTGTGGCTTCATTGCTAAGCATAAGTTAAAAATAAGAGAGAAACCATGTACTAAATCCTGGAATTTCCCACCAACTCCAAGCCTAAGCAGTCCTATATATGCATCTCATCCCTAACCCTCTACTCTAGTTCCTATAACAACCCTAGGAACACTGCAAACATTCAGCCTCCTTCAAGTTCCTTTATCCCCCAAGTGGAATTCTGTCCTCTTACTCGACAGCAAGGCTCCTCAACATGAGGGACTTTAGAAAAATAGGGCATGGCATGGTGGCTCACACCTATAATTCCAGAACTTTGAGAGGCTGAAGTAAGAGGGCTGCTTGAGCCCAGGAATTCTAGACCAGCCTGAGCAACATAGCAAGACTGTTTCCACAAAAAAATTTTTTAAATGCATCGAACATGGTGGTGCTCGTCTGTAGTCCCAGCTACTCCGGAGGCTGAAGTGAAAGGATCCCTTGAGCCCAGAAGGTCGAGGCTACAATGAGCCATGACCATGCTACTGCACTCCAGCCCGGGCAACAAAGTAAAACCCCATTTATTAAGCATAATCACTGTTTGGTTCCCACCCAGAGATCTCTCAAGATACAGTCTATCAGGCAATGCCTACCCACAAACACACACACATACACACGATGGAGATAGGCAAAACCTCAGATTACATCACAGCAAAGTCAGACTAGAAAAACCAAAGGAAACATAAGATACTTCTCATTTCTAACACCAATTTTCCCAAGTCACATCCCAGAGTCAGCCAACCCAGAGACCACTGGCTCCTGTGGTTATTTGGGTTGAACAGCGGCATGATGCTCTCTCTCCAACTCTAACCAATAGAATTAACAATGACCCCTTCCTCCAAGATATGATTTACACAGCCAACAAAAAGAGCACACAAGGACAATATGGAGCAGAAATACAGTTTATGGACACTGCCACACCTTCTGAGAACAGACTATTTCTTTAGGGAGACTGGGCATTTACTTCCCTGAATTCTTGATACCAAAAGGAAAAAGAAAAAAAAAATCAGAGTAAACAAAAGTAACCTTAGTACAGCTCCAAACGACATTATCTACCATTACTAGAATTACATCCCAACCCAGAAAATCTACTCCAGCAAAAGAGGAAGTCAGATGGATACTTCTAGAGATAAATCCTCCCAACTCAGCACAGCAGCAATATTCCTTCTTTTATCAGTATTTATCTTTAGTGGAAAGATTCACCACGAAGCATGGGCACTGGACAGACCATCAGTTTCCCAAGAAGGACCACAGCCTCTCTGTGGCCATGTCAAAGTCCTACCTGTAGGTCTGATGGAGAGAGGGGTTACCTGATGCCGGCGGGTGAGGGTGCCGTTGGCCATGAGTGGGTTGGCATCTTGTGGTGAGACCCGGACGCGTTCCAGCTGCGCCGAGACGTGGCGCCGTTCCTCCTCCAGCGCCCGGGTCAGCTTCTCAAACTGGGCCTCTTGTTCTTTCACAGAGGCCAAGATGCTGGCGGTCGACTCCACCTCTGAGTCGTCCATGAAGGTAAGGGGCAGAGCCGCCGCAGGGTAGGGTAAAAAGGAAGGTGGATCACAGAGGGAGGAGGAAGGAGGGAGAAGGCCCCTTCACTTCACACTACCGGGAAAGGGTAAGAGAAAGGAGAGAAAAGGTCACAGGTCAGAGAAGACAGATGAATTATTAATCCCAGAGCCAAAGATGCCCTCTCATGGTTTTAACACAGTGCAAAAAGCAAGCCACCACCAAGCCTGGGAGGGGAGACCATCACCAGTGTTTGCTCAAGCAGGATACTGTGACCACGATCCTCTTTAACACCCTTCAGAAACAACTATTGCAAGGAAAGGTGCAACTAGATCCAAATCTCTACACTGTCAGTAGGAGAGGGAGAATGTGGCTAAGTGCTATAGTCATGGCATGAAAGATTATCTGTTGCTGGTATCAACTCAATGAAAATTGTAACTCCATGGTACAGACGAGCACTCACCGTCCTGCAGGAACAGGCCAATTCTAGAGATAATAGAGCAATACAGATCTTACCACTCCCAAATCTGAACTCTGAAACTGCTGCTGTGGCAGCAAAATACACCAAATTAACATGCTAAACTAAAATGCCAAAAAGAAATGGAAGTAAAAAAAACTTCCCACCATCAAAGGTATGAGACAAAAATCAAGGCCTCTGTGTTTAATATATTTATGAAAGGGCCTTTCCACTTTCCAAAACTATACTACAATATTGAGGGCAAAATGTGTGCCTTGACCAATGGAGACAAGAGAGCAATAGAACCGTGGAATACCTGACAGGTAAAAAGGCACAATTTTCAGGAACCTTCACCTCTTTGGGAAGTATGAAAAGGAGTATCAGGCTCAAACCCTAAAACTGTAATTCATATCCTCACAGTAATTCATATCCTAACTCTTCAGATGTCAATGGCTAGAACTTTCTACATCTCTGTCATCCTGCAGAAAGCTCTAACAGACTATCTTTTTATGCCTTTACTTGTTCCAACTCAGTAAATATCCAAGGATCTAGATGGTGCATGTAGGCTATCTATAAAAGATAGCTATGTAGAAATGAAGAGTTCTCCATACCCTTGTTATATATAGCACGTTACTACTCAAAAATGAAGAGGCATTATAGTCATACTGCTGGACTTAATGGGTTGTCTCTCTTATAGCTATGGAGAATTTATGGCCAGTCCAAAATATACAGTGTTGAAAGGCAGGTTTTGAAATAAATCTTCTCCCCTATTCCCCACTCTCTCATCAACCCCTTAAAAAAAGGCACTTAAAAAGATTTTTTTATTCATAATAAACATATTTCCATACACACCTGTTAAGAGAAGGTCGTAACTGATTGGTTTAACACAGAGAAGAACCCAGTCTAGATTCAAAAAAATCACGGAAGAAGCATCCCAGCCACCACAGCAAGGAGGAAGCAGGAAGGAGAGAGCTGCAGAAATATTTGGAGGAAAAATGGAAATGAGAGGAAAATAAAATATACCCAATACATAAAAACAAGAGCAAGGGGGCAATATTAGGAATGAAAGGAAGTAATTTAAGATATAACTTAGAATTGCTTAAGGTGACAAACGCCCTTTGGACTTTGCTGTGTTCAGATACGGAGGTCCTGGATGTAGTTTTCATTAAAACTTGGATTCTACTGTCATGTCAGAGTTCCTCTACTGGGATTTCCATACAGAACCAGGAATAGGTTATAATATGGATAAACACTCACCCCATTTCCAGCGACCAAATTGGGGGGGAAATGGCTGTTGGAATGCCCTTCCCCCTCCTTCTCACCCCTAAGGCAGAAACCTCAAAGTCCAGTCCCAGCATGCCCACAAAGACATTGAGAAACCAATGCAATAGTCGCGGTGGGGAAGACATGTGGGGACTGGTCTAGGCTGAGTCTTTTGCTTTGGCTTCCTTTCCCACGCTCCCCAGAGTCCCACCAAGCACAAATGCTTTGGTCTGTTTGCCTTAGACTATATACAGCATTCAGCAAGCAAGAATACCCAGAGGAAACTGAGAAACAGGTGCCCAATATACGACTGAATTAACTAGTTCCTAAATTTAAAGAATATGATAGCCCTTCCCTAAATTCCTCCTACACCCAACTCAGGGTTTCTTCCCACAATCACTTCTCAACCCTGTTCCTTCTTTCAGTCCAAAGCGCACTGCCACTTTCTCATATTCCCACCCTACTTTTCCAATGAGCCATTCAAAGGTCTTTCTTTAATCAGCGTCCTTATTTAAAAAAAAAATAACTAAAGGGTAGCTTCTTTCATCTCCATTTCGTCATTTAAGACCCTTGCCCTTATCCACTATGTACAATGACCTATGAACCTTCCACACCAAGAGGACTCTGAGCTCAAGACAGAGTCTTCCGGTTACTGAGTTTCAGCAGGGCCTCAACTGCAGTTACCATTCCAGCAGTCTCCACCCTATAATCTTCTTTACTAATAAAAGCCCAAATTACTGCTACCATAGGGCAGACAATACAACATTACCTGCTGCAGAAAGAAAGTGTTTGTCACCCTACCATATGGCCATTTTTTTATTCCCATAACTTCAATTTTATTTTATTTTTATTTTTTTTTTGAGTTGGAGTCTCACTCTGTCGCTCACACTGGAGTGCAGTGGCTGCTCCCGGCCACCGCAGCCTCGACCTGCTGGGCTCCGGCGATCCGTCCGCCGCAGCCTTCCAAGTAGCTAGAACTACAGGCGCGCACTACCATGCCTGGTTAATTTTTTTTTTTTGATTTATTGTAGAGATGAAGTGTAGAGATGAGGTCTCGCCAAGTTGCCCAGGTGGGTCTCAAACCCGCGGGCTCAGTCAATCCACTCACCTCAGCCTCCCAAAGGCCCGGGATTACAGGCTGAGCCACCAAGCCCAGCACCATAACTTCAATTTAATGAAGAAGGTTAGCAAGGAAGATAGGAAAAATTCCCAGGGATCTAGGTCAGAAAGCAATATCTGGAGAAACATTAGCTTTCCCCATTCATGGCTTTAAAGTTGATACTTGACTCTAATTTGGAAAAGAGGACAGCACAATTAGGTAGAAAGAGAAGATCAGATCCCTAGGTCTAAAAGCATGGAGTCATCCTGCCTGAGAGAGGGCAGAAGCAGAGGCTGTATGACATGGAATACAACTTAGAACACCAGTGCCAGTCTTGGTTCTGCCACTAGCCAACAATGGCAGTGAGTCTCTGCCATGGTCCCATCCATAAGATGCCAAATCCACCAGCCCAGTCTAACTCAGAGTTGCTGTGAGGATCAGGTGAGATAATGCATGTTATATACAAATGTGAGGTATTAAGTTGTTTCAAGAGTTAGTTTCTATCTTCCAATTACATTACTTCATGATAATGTCTCAGCTCCAAACTATTTTGTGAACTAGTAGATGAAATTGGATCAAGAACATAACTTGGTTCTAAGGAGTGGATGAGCTGGTTTCCCTACTCCAACTCTATTTACCATGAGGTCCCACCTAGACCAGTGTTTCTGGGACAGAGGGTACTTCTCTTATGCCTGGCAGTCATCACAGTATTACACTTCTGTCATTAAAAGTTTCTGATTCATCATTTGAGGCCTTAGCACTTTATTACCAAGGAGAAAGGGAACGTGAAACGAGCTAACAATTACTGAATGTTTCACTTTTTTTTTTTTTTTGAGTTGGAGTCTCACTCAGTCACCCAGACTGGAGTGCAGTGGCCGCTCCCGGCCACCGCAACCTCGCCTGCTGGGCTCCGGCAATCCTTCCGCCTCAGCCTTCCGAGTAGCCGGAATTACAGGCATGCACTACCATGCCCGGTTGATCTTTTGATTTATTGTAGAGATGAGGTCTCGCTGCCCAGGCGGGTCTCGAACCCGTGGGCTCAGGCAATCAACTCACCTCAGCCTCCCAAAGGCACGCGGGATTACAGGCTGAGCCACCGAGCCCGGCTAATGTTTCACTTTTACTATCCCAGCAATTCTTACAACAACCCTAAAGAAATTTTATTGCAAATGAGAAAACAGATTCATAGGAGAAGAAATTACCAAAGGTCTTATAGTGAATCGCAAATTTTGAATTTAAACCCAGGTCTATGCCATTCCAAAGCCTGCACCCTCCCCTTCTATGCCATGCTGTCAAGTCCAAACAGAAGTGCAATACAAGATGGAGGGTACAGACTCTCTCCCTTACAACTTTTGAGAGCTTTCTTCCAAACCATCACAGGAAAACGAGAAAAGAAAAGGCTTCCATTTTTTGTTAGGCTAAAGAGTTATCCATAATGTCTACATATAAGATATAAGTGAGAAAACACAAAAAAATGGGAGGAAAAAGAAAGCATGAGCTGGGGAGAGAAGGATGCAATTAGAAAAGCTACAGTAAATATTAATAGTTTCATAACTCAGAGACTTAATGAAAAAAGATTCTTCTCCATGTTGGATACATCATAAAAAGATTATGCTAGGGGCCGGGCTCAGTGGCTCAGTCTGTAATCCCAGCACTTTGGGAGGCTGAGGCAAGTGGATTGCCTGAGCCTGCAGATTCAAGACCAGCATGGGCAACTTGGTGAGACTGCATCTCTAAATTAAAAAAATTAGCCAGGCATAGTAGGGCACACCTGTAGTTCCGGCTACTTGAAAGGCTGAGGTGGAAGGATTAATGGAGCTCGGCAGGTCGACACTAGGGTGGGCGTAAGCGTGCCACCACACTCCAGCCTGGGTGAGGAGTGAGACTCCAATTCACAAAAAAAAAGATCGTGCTATAGACCATTAACTGACTTTGGCAGATAGAGTCAGGAAGTCTTGAATCCAGCCCAGCACCTTTCCAGGTTTGCCACTTAGTATTTCCAAATGGATTATACTTACTATCACTAAAAAAAGACCATGAGCCGGGCTCGGTGGCTCAGCCTATAATCCCGTGCCTTGGGAGGCTGAGGTGAGTGGAAGCCCGCGGCTTCGAGACCAGCCTGGGCAACTTGGTGAGACCTCATCTCTACAATAAATCAAAAATTAGCTGGGCCTGGTAGGGCACGCCTATAATTCCAGCTACTTGGAAGGCTGAGGTGGAAGGATTGCCGGAGCCCAGCAGGTCGAGACTGCGGTGGCCGGGAACGGCCACTGTACTCTAGTCTGAGCGACAGAGTAAGACTCCAACTCAAAAAAAAAAAAAAAAAGACCATGAAGGGATTCCTAAAGCAAGAAAGGGGCACATAAAGTGAAACTTGCTATTCCACAACACTAGATTTTCTGAGAATAGCTGGTTTTATTCTTAAAAAACAAAGGTCCTATATTCTTGGATCCCACCCAAACTAGAAAGATTTTCCCACCATTATTCAAAATCTACAGTAAAACCTAAAGCAATGACAATGACAAAAACTCAGTCTCTTCCATAGAACAACAAACCAAAAGAAGTTAAATTTAATCAAATGCCCAGAAGTACCAAATAATTAGATAATGCCAACCAGATGCAAGGCACAAAAAAAAAAAAAAAAAAGAAAAAAGAAGAAAAGAGAGGCCAGGTGCAGTCACTCACGTCTGTAATCCCAGCACTTTGGGAGACAAAGCGAGAGGCTTGCCTTAGCCCACGGGTTCAAGACCAGCCTGGGCAACTTGTTAAGACCTTGTCTCTACAATGAATCAAAAAAAAAAGGGCATAGCAGCACACGCCTGTAGTTCCAGTTACTTGGCAGGCTGAGGTGGAAGGATTGTCTGAGCCCAGCAGGTAGAGACTGCAGTGGCCATGAGCATGCCACTGCACTCCAGCCTGGGGGACAGACTGAGACTCTGACTCAAAAAAAAAAAAAAAAAGAGTATAGGCTTTGGAATCTGACTGGGTTTAACTCCAGGCTCTATTGCTTATTAGCTATATGACTTTGGGCAAAGTACCCCTTAATCACTCTAAATATCAGCTTTCATTTCTGTAAAATGGAGACATAAAAACACATGGGGTGGCTGTAAGGATTAAATGAGACAATCCATGTAAAGTGCTTAGAAAAAGTTTTGACACAGCCATTGCCAGGTCACTGAGGCCATTGCCTTGCTAAGTTATGGTGTGGCCATGTGCTCTTTGAGCTATGGCCAGCCCATGTTTCCTGGCTTTGGCCCCCCCACCTGCCTTAGAGAGGTGAATCTCCTCTTTCTCTCTAATTTACTCTTTAAATAAACGATATTTCCTAATCTAAAAAAAAAGTCTTACACACAGAAGCTATTGATATTGTTACTACCATAGGGACTAGAGTTTTGGTGTGTTTGCTAGAGCTTATGACTAAACCACAGTATACCCATGCTCCCCTCTTCCACATCCAGCAGGCTTACAAACTACAGAAATTCTTCCCTCTTAAGGAAAAACAAAAACAAAATAAAACTCCAGATAAGGAGTCAAAAGAGGAAGAGTGCAGTGGCTCACGCCTATAATTCCAGCACTTTGGGAGGCTGAGGTGAGAAGATCGCCTGAGCCC